TGCAATTCCATAGAGAGTTCTGAAGGAGGGGTGGTGACACCAGCAGAACGGGAGAGGGAGCAGGGACCACACAGCCAGGTAGGTCAGCAGCAAACCTTGCTCTGCCCCCATCTGCAGCTGGGGGACGCCAGGCGAGGCAGGCACCCCTCACCAAGCCCAGTGCTCACTTGTGAAGGGGTGAGAACTGCACAGGCTCTCCAGGGGCTGGAGAAGTCATGCCAGGACCTGCCTGACCCTCGCCTTGCCCAAGAAGGAACCCAGTGTCGGTGGGCCAGGCTCTGCCTGCACATGGGAAACCGGCTCATACCAGTTTCTGCCATCGGTTGAGATTTTGTATAGGAACATTGTTCTGGAAGAATGTGGAAAAATGAAAATGTATAGTAACTAAGGACAGGAGCCGGCATTCTCTCAGAAGTTCAGATTATGTAAGGATTTGAAGAAAACTCCAGGCCAAGATGAGAGGGGAGGTGGGTAGGGGGAGGGAGTGGATATGAAAATGAACTCCAGCTGGGTGAGAAGGTGGGAAGGACTAGGTGGGATTCCTGGGGCCCAGCAACTGTGCCTTTAGAATTTATTTGGGGTTGACTCCTGTCCATTTCAACTTAGTATTTACTGGCCTCCAAGTCCATGCCAAGTTCTACACCAGGAACTCCTGAGTGAAGGCTTTTAAAGGCTCTTTTGGTATTGGAATGGTGGCAGTCCTGGGAGCAGGGACCTTGGGTCATCCCTGCAATCATCCACCCGCCTCAAAGTGGCTCAGCAAACAGCTCTGTGTGACAGGCCCTGAGTGGGGGACAGGCAGGGTCACAGAGCCCCTGGAGAGGTCAGAATCCTGAGAAGAGGGCAGACTCAGGAATCTGTCAGGGCTTCAAACTGTGCCCACGGCCATGGTGGGTGGTTTTCTAGGCTTGGGAAACTGGGTCCTAGCAGACCAGCAGGTGAGTGTGCACCGGGCCCGCAGTGTGTTGAGGGGTCTAACCTGAGCAGTTGTAAGGGGTGCGACTGGAAAGGCAGCAGGCCTGGGACGGTGCGTGAGGGAGGGCTTGAGGGCCACCCTGAGCCAGCTGCTGAGGCAGGCAAGGACAGCAGCAGCCCAGCGCAGGCCAGGCCTGACCACAGAAAGCAGAGCATGGGCACAACGGTGGATTGGGGTGGGACACAGGCCCGGCTGAGGAGCTGGGGGTGGCAGGCAGGTCCTGAGTGTCTGTGCATGCAGTTCCTCGGTGTGCAGATCCACAGCAGCATGCCCTGCCTGGCGCATACAAGCTGCGGGCCCACATACCCTGCAACTCTCCCCTTGGGTTGGCCTCAGTTGCCTGTGGGGTCTGGCAACTGTGTTTCACCCGAAAATCTCTACAAAAAATACAAAAATTAGCCGGGTGTGGTGGTGCATGCCTGCAGTCCCAGCTACTTGGGGGTTGAGGCAGACAATCTCTTCAACGCAGGTAGTGGAGGGTGCAATGATCCGAGACGCACCACTGCAGTCCAGCCTGAATGACAGAGCACGAGCCTCTGTCTCAAAAAAAAAAAAGGAAAGGAAAGAAAAATGCCTATCATAGCAGGTGTGCAGGGGAGACCCAGGCAAGGCCCTTACCAGGGCTTGGCATCTAAGTTTGTTGTTATTTTATCAAAAGCTAAAAACAACAGCTGTCTGGAGGGTCACTCCTGAAATTACCAGCATCCTCAGGCCAGGTTTGCGCCAATAAATTCCGTTTTCCGTTAACAAAAGCCACCGTCCAAGCCTCTGCCACTGGGCGCAGGTCCAGGCCCTTCTGCTGTTGCTCATCAGGTGACTCTGGGGAAGCAGCTGTTATTCCCACTCGCAGATGGGAAAACTGAGGTGCTGGGGTATTTCCTGTCTCTCCCAAAGCTGGTGAACATTGGAGGGCCGTCAAACCCAGGGCTGACTCCACAACACGGATGTTGCTCGGGCCTCTGCTCTGCCTCTTACTCATCATGTGATGAGGACATGTCCTTTCACTTCTGGGGCACGTTTCCTCACGGGGGTGGGGTGCTGACAGGAAACGGACAAAGGCATCAACCGACACTTCCCAGAAAAGTAATGCAGCCTCTTATGGAAGTAAGAAAACATGCTCCGTCTCACTTAATTACAGAGGCTCATTCCAAAGTGACAGCATTTTTTTTTTTAACCCCTCAGTTTGGCTAAGATTAAAAAGGTGCAGTGTGAGTGAGGATGCAGGGAAATAGTGAAATAGTGACTTTCACAGGCTATTTGTGAGCATGAGAAACCAGTGTGAACTTTAGGAGGGTAGTTTCTTAAGATCGACTAACATTTTAAATGGATATATACTTTGTCCCAGAAATCAAATGCTGAGGTGGGAGAATTTATCCCAACAGTTTACAGACACAAGCACGTAAAATCCTCCTTACGCATTGTCACAGGAGTACTGTATGTGGTTTAAAAAATTAAATGAAGTCTGCATACAGCCTAAATGCCCATCAGCAGAGGAACTGGTTAAAGAAAAAAACAAGGTATAACCTTTCAGAGATATTCTGAGGGAAAAAGCAAGATGACATTAAATATATAAAATAAGTTTTTATTATGTCAAATAAGAAATATTTGTATCAGCAAATTTACTTCTAGAAGGATTATCCTCAATAAATACAGTAATTGCCATTGAGGTAGGGAGAAAGGTGTCTTTTTCCTATTTTTAACCCTTCATTCACTGTTAACTTTACTGTTTGGTTTTGTGTTTAGAGCGTGCTGTTGGCCCACTGTGTGTGCTCAGTTACTGGAAGATGTTTTGGCTGTGGCCTCACAGGCACTTGAGGCATAGATGTATATACAGGTCTGCCACCCGAAGAGGCAAACTGACTTGGCTTGGCCCAACCTCTCACCCCTGTGGAGGGGACCTCTTCCTACTCATTGCAGACGAGTTCACTTGTTCCCACCACAAGCGCAGAATGCCTTGTACTTCCCACCCCTTTGCTCCCCAGGGAGCTCTGCAAGTCCCCAGAAATACTTGCCCAACCACTGGCACCCTTGGAAAGGTCCAGCTGCTGACCAGCAGCGCCCTGCGACTCCCAGTGCCCGTGACATCTGGAGGAACTGAGCAATGGCTGAGGTGGAATTTCATTTGGCACTTAATGCAATCCTCTGCTTCTGCCAGAGGCGATGTATTCTATATAAAGCTGCCAAACCTGACCATCTTCTCACTGAGCCTTGACCTCTTCCATCCAAGGGCAAGGCCACGGATCGCTGTGCATGACTCCCGCGCAGTAAATGTGGCATTGGGACCTAGCCCAGCTGAGCTGAGCAAAGCAGGCCTGCCTGGCGGAAGTGGGTCCTCTCCACTCTAACCTCTGGCTCTGATGAGCAGCGGCTACATAAACTGAGACAGGATATAGACACATCCTGCCTGAGTTAGCAGCAAGAAATAGCCGCCCCCCTTCCGCCCCCCCCCACCCCCTGCCGTTCTCGCACAGCAGGGATCCTGCCATAAATCAGTCCGAAGTCTAAAGCGGAATGGCTTGCAAGCAAGGGCTGCGCCGCTGTTTGTCTCCCAAGGCAAGTGTTGTAGGTCTGAAATCTGAGTCCTGGAGAACTGCTTGGGCGGCTGGGCTGGGCTGGGCACGGGGGCGGGGGTCAGGCAAGCCCATCCTCTTCAGACATGGGAATGCCTGTCAGCCTCACCTCCTCAGTGCCTGAATTGGAATAATGACAGTGGCTTCTGTCCCTTTAACCCAGGACCCGCCATATACACACACACAAACACGTGCTCAAGTTACACACACACGTAAACTCCGGGAACCACAGTCTCATGGACAATGATATAAACATGCCCAGCACGGATCCAGCACTTATGATGTGTCAGTCTCCGTGCCGGGACATTGATACGGACTTCTTACTGCTGGATGAGGAATCTCCTGTTATTATTCCTACTTTGCAGATGAGGAAACTGGAGCTAAGAGAGGCTGCCTTGTTTAGAGGCAGTGCAGTGATCCCAGTGCAGACTGAGGGGCCTCGCTCTCAAGTACCATTTATGCCCGCGCACTCCCAGGCCGACCCAAGCACAACCACGGGCACACGGAGTGCCGTGTACACACGTAGACCGAAGCTACGCTCCTCCATGCCAAGCTCCAGGCTCGGGCAGGGTGGGGTTGAGGCCTCACAACCCCCTGGATTTCAAAGACTTTGAGTTGGTGTCTCCAATACCCATATCATCATCATATCAGTAAGGTAACATGATCACATGATAGGCTCAGGCTATCTCCTCTCTGACAGACTCTAAGAATAAGACCGCGGCAGGGTGGGGGATAAGAGGGATATGCATTAGGTTTTTAGGTAAAATAAAATGGTAGTTATTATTGCAAAAGTAACAGCAGAGGAAGAGCGCAGAGAGAGGCCCAGCAATGTTTCCAACCACCTACAAAGACTTTCATCGCATATGATTTCCTGTCAGCAAGAAAACGTAATGGTTTAAAAGAGAAAGAAAACAAGCAGCGAGGAATTACAAATCCCCGAAGGATCCAGGCCGCAGGATTTCCCCGCATCTGTGTGCCTTTGCAGCGCCCAGAGGAGCGAGCAAGTCCCTGGGCAAGGCTGGAGTTGCCTGGAGTTCACCAGAGCCTGCCCGGTCGGCCCCTGGCTAGGGAGCAGCACAGACGCAACTTGTGATGTGGACTCTTCCCTAACTGTTCTTTAGGGGGACAGTGCTGGCCCCACACATTTCCCATGCCCCGCACAAAGAAACAGCGGGCGACACGCCCTGGGCGGGCGGGCTGGCGGCCTCTCCAGCTCGGGGCGCGTGGAGGCTGCGCGTCGCCGTCCGGGACGCGGGACAGGGACTCCGCGCAGCCCAGGCGCCGGGGAACCGGGGCTGGAGTCGGGGATCTGAGCCCAGCGGGCGCCTCCTCCGCCTGGAGGCCGGGCAAGGACCAGGACACCCGGGAGTCCGTGACCGCGGCTCGGCCCCTGGCTGCTGCGGGCCGCGGCCTCCAGTGGGTCCCCAGGACCCCTCCCCACGGCGGGTACTCACCGAGGCTGAGTGGCCGCGCCGTGCCGTTGGGGCTGCTCGTCCTGGGCATCAGCCCGGGCAGAGACCGCGGGGAAGGGCCGGACCGGGCCGGGCCGGGGGAGGGTCGCGCTCCCGGGCTCCTGACCCTCAACGGCGAGAGGAAGCGGCACCTGGGTCACACTCCTCCCGCGCGGGCCGAGGGGAGGGGCTCTGGCCCGGAGATAGGCAGACTTCATTTTTTTTCTGCAGACTTGGCTGGTAGGGTTTCCACCCTTTTTTTTTTTTTTTTTGAACACACACCCGCCCACTTCTGAACTCTTCTTTGCTCCAACTTTCCTGCGCAAGAAGCACGCTTTTCTAACCGTTTCTCTTTCCATCTGCCACTACCGGATACAGAGGTTGTGGTTGAGAATTCCCCCTGGAGTGCAGGGAAAACTCGCCAATGTGACTTGCTGGCCTGGCCCAGCACTGTCGGGAATGGTGACCAAATAGGGCAGACCTGTGTTGAAATCTTGGCTGGCTGCGCGGCCGCTGGATAGCTGGGCGGCCTCTCTGAGCTAGCCACGGGGCATTTGTCCCTGGAGAGAGTCCCTGTCTTCTTGGCCTTTGGGGGCCCTGTACCCATGGATGGGGTGTTGAGCAAAGATCGTTCCAAAACAGGAAGAATTGCCGGACAAGGGTTGTGATTTGTTCCCATTGCTTTTGTCTGAAGCTGCCAGACACAGTGCAGTTTGTGAATTCGCTCTACTTTTGCCATGAAAACCTCCACAAGGATTTCGTTACATATCTTGGTTGGTTAAATGCAGTCAACTGGCACCACCTACAAAAAAGTGTATCATAGCATTATCTGCCCCTTCTGCCCAGAGACAAGGGCAGGGAACTTGAGGCCCTTGTTTTAAATCCCCGCCCAGGGGAACACCCTGTGCTTCTCTGTGTGATATCTGAACCGTCCTGTGCTGCTTTTCTTTTTTTTTTTTTTTTAATTGTACTTTAAGTTGTAGGGTACATGTGCACAACGTGCAGGTTTGTTACATATACATACATGTGCCATGTTGATGTGCTGCACCCATTAACTCGTCATTTACATTAGGTATATCTCCTAATGCTATCCCTCCCCCTCCCGCCACCCCACCACAGGCCCAGGTGTGTGATGTTCCGCTTCTTGTGTTCAAGTGATCTCATTGTTCAGTTGCCACCTGTGAGTGAGAACATGCGGTGTTTGGTTTTCTGTTCTTGTGTTAGTTTGCTGAGAATGATGGTTTCCAGCTGCATCCATGTCCCTACAAAGGACATGAACTCATCCTTTTTTATGGCTGCATAGTATTCCATGATGTGTATGTGCCACATTTTCTTAATCCAGTCTGTCATTGATGGTTATTTGGGTTGGTTCCAAGTCTTTGCTATTGTGAATAGTGCCGCAATAAACATATGTACTTTATAGTTCCCCAAGCACTTTTGTGACGCCCTCATCTCCCCTACCTTCTGCCATTAAGGCCTGTCCTGCACAATCCAGAGAGCCAGGCCAGTTGTCTGTACAATGTATGGGCGGTGCCTTTGGGGCTGTCATCTGCATTGAATACAATGAGAGGCTGAGCCCTGGAGATGTGCAACACAGAGGCTTTGCTCACCTCTACCTGGGCTGCACAAACTCCAGGCCTTCTTGACGCAGTGGGAAAGCACTTATGATTCACTTTAGTTAGATCATGAAGAAGCCCCGATGCTGACAGATCTTTAGTCCAACTGCCATGTGCAGCACAGCCATGTTGAATTGAAATAAACTCCTCACCGAATGCCCTGAGTCTTGATTTCCTCATCTATAAAATGGAGGCAAGGACACCTGCATTCCAGGGTTTTACAGAGGCAGTGATTGTAGAATCACAGTGGGAACAGAAAAGGCATTTAATAAACAGAAACAAGCAATGATTAATTCATTTATTTTTATTTTTTATTTTCTGAGACGGAGTTTTTGCTCTTGTTGCCCAGGCTGGAGTGCAATGGCACGATCTCGGCTCACCACAACCTCCGCCTCCTGGGTTCAAGCAATTTTCCTGCCTCAACCTCCCAAGTACATGGGATTACAAGCCTGTGCCTCCACGCCTGGCTAATTTTGTATTTTTAGTAGAGACAGGGTTTCTCCATGTTGGTCAGACTGGTCTCGAACTCCCGACCTCAGGTGATCCGCCCGCCTTGGCCTTCCAAAGTGCTGGGATTATAGGCGTGAGCCACCGCGCCCATGATTAACAGTTTAACTTTTTTTTTTTTTTTTTGGTAATACATACGTTTATGTCTAGGTGGAACAGTAGTCCGCCTCCCCTGTCCTGAGAGAAAATAACTTTAATTATCTGAAATGCAGCTGGAAAGTTGGAAAGAAGCAGAAAGTCCTGCCAGGTAACAAAGAATAAGTCATTAGGTCATTGCAGCACACTTAGAGACTTTTACAGACTCATTTAGAACCTACTGGCCTTAGACATAATCATAAGCGATTTCCTTAATTTCTTAGGGTAGGATGGGTTGAAGGTATCAAAATGTTCCAGAGAATTCCTTACAGAAAAGAAGCCAAAAAAATTAATAAACTGACTAAACAGCGAAAATTGAAAGCCCCACAAACTGCAGAGGTCAGATACAAGAACGAAGTAACATTTGTTACAGAACTAAAACAATCTCAGCTCCAGCCATCACTGGAGGATGTGACAGTTCCTTGTGCTATTAAAGAGCCAGGGCTTTGGAACTCAATCTGGGTTAGTTACTCTCCTGCCTACTAGTTGTGTAACCTTCAGCATTTTACTTTCTTTCTCTGAGCCTCAATTTTCTCATCCTGGAAATTGGAGCAATCTGCAAAGTTAGGCTGTTGTGAGTAATATATTCGATATTAATGGGGTAATTACAATGAAAGTACACTGGAGTTACGTAAAGATACTGGCCCCCTTCCTCCTCTAACACATACTTTGTTTATAGTAAGGACCCCAGGTCATTTGAAAAAGAAAGTAAATAGTGTTTTCATAGTGTGTAGCAAATTATCTAGCAGGGAAACATTTGACATATTTTGGAAAATTTAACTATGAAAGTGTCTAATGTTAAATAAATGACTGTTATTTTAAGAAGGGAAAATAATCATATAAAAAATTTAATTATATGACAACAGTCTGACATTAAGTCAAGAAATGCATCATTAGTGTGTCTTCATGTGTTGGATATTTATTCATGAAGTTAAAAAAACTCAGCTATATCTTGCAACAAAAAACCAGTTCTTATCTTGTCTAGTTCCCATAAATACTCTTAAACAGAGTATTGCCAAGAGTCCATTGTAAAGATGAGAACCCAGAGGTTCAGAGCAGTGACAAGAACTTGCTCTGCAGTGCAGGCGGGATTGACGGTTCTAGCTGTGTCTTCATTGACTGTACTGTGGCTGATACAAGCTGCAGAGCCCTCCAAGGTGTGAGATGGTGTGATCCAGTCCTGGGAGGTGAATTTTCTCTTCGTCTTCAGGGAAGAAACTGCTCATGGGAAACTGCCCTACAAATCTTCAGTGCTAGTTCCTTATTGGGAGCAGGGTTGGAGGTCCCCTGCTGCTGTAGCTGTCTCCTGGGTGAACCCTTACAGACAGTGGTGGGTAGATGTTACTTGAGCCCTTTAATGAAAGGTTTTGCCCCTCATCACAGTAACACATGCTTTTAGTGCAAAAAGAAAAAAAAATAAATAGAGAAAAAGCCAAAAAGATACCTAAACCCTAAGAATTGCTGGCAATCTCTAGCACATTAAAGCTATTTACCTTTAGTCTTTTTTATGCATTTATGAATATTTGCTTTATATTCTTGAGATTTTACTGAATGTGGGATTTCAAGTGCTGAGCTTTTACTACCAAACATTATGTCACGAGCATTTTCTCATATAAAAGTAGAAAAGCTCTTTAACTCATTTTAATTACTAGGTTGTTTCCTTTTCTTTGCTAGTTGAATAGTGCTGTGATAAACCATATGAACTTAAATATCTGGATTTCATAAATTTTTCCTTAGCATATATTCCGACAAGCAGAATTACTCAATCAAAGGTTAGAAGTGTATTTAAAGCTTTTGATACATTCATAAGTTGTGGCTGTAACCTTTACTTTCTTTCCAATCAAGAGTACCAGTGTTTATCTCAGAGTCTCTTGCCAGAACTAAACAGTAACTTTAAAATCATAGTTAATTCTGTAGATAAGCAACATATGTAGTTATTTGTGTTAGCATTTTCTTTGATTACCAGAGAGGCCGAATATGCAGTCACATGCTTATTTATAAATCGCAGGTTCTTCTAGGTGACTATTTTATTCACACTGTTTCCTCATTTGGAGGTGTGATAGTTAATACTGAATGTCAACTTGATTGGATTGAAGGATACAAAATATTAATCCTGGGTATGTCTGTGAGGGTGTTGCCAAAAGAGATTATTAACATTTGGGTCAGTGGGCTGGGGAAGGTAATCCACCTTAATCTGGTGGGCACCATCTAATCAGCCTCCATCTAATCAGCAGGCAGAAAAACGTGAAAACAAGGAATGGATCTGGCCTCCCAGCCTACATCTTTCTCCCGAAAGACAGACTTTCTGCCCTCGAACGTCAGACTCCAAGTTCTTCAGTTTGGGGACTTGGACTGGCTCTCCTTCCTCCTCAACTTGCAGACAGCCTATTGTGGGACCTTGTGATCATGTAAGGTAATGCTTAATAAGCTCCACTGTATATATATATACACACACACACACACACACATATATATACATATATATATAAGTCATATATATACATATATACAAGTATATATATATACAAGTATATATATATACATACATACACACACATATAAGTCATATATATACGTATATACAAGTATATATATACACATATATACACACACACACACACACACACACACACACATATATATATATATATATATAGAGAGAGAGAGAGAGAGAGAGAGAGAGAGATCCTATTAGTTCTGTCCCTCTAAGAGAACCTTGACTAATACAAATTTTGGTACCAGGAGTGGTTCTAGAGGAACAGAATATTAAGGATGGAGTTCTTTCATTGGTTTGGGGGTTTCTGGAGTTGGCTGCTTAAGATGATTAGACCCCAAAATGCTAAGGACTCTATTTTTAATAGCATGGAGAACACTGAGAGTCCTTGGCATGAACTGTTTAGAGAGTTATGCAAAATAAATGCATTTGACACTCCTGACTCACTGCTCGTAAGAGGCAAGGAGTTTAGTGACTCTATACATAATACCTTTCATCATATGTGGAGAAACAAGGAAAATAATGAAGCTGGTTGGTTGCTCCTAAGTTCAGGGACAACGTGATGAAAGAAAATGATGAACTCAGGATTCTGTCACCTGGTTTCAGAAGCAGATACTGAGTCTCAAATCTGCTAATATTGCCCTGAGTGAGA